CCAGTGAGGCTTTCTTGTCATGTTTGCTGCAGTTAGGGCTAGAGTAGCATGATTTTCCGATAGTCGCCAAATATAATTATCCACAATAATATTAATTAAATTTGTTAGTGTCTTGGTAATGTGACTTACAGTCTTTTTATGTCTTCTTCTTTGGTTCGTTTATCACGTTGTAACATTTCCAACTCTGCCCTAGTACTTGTCTGTACTGTCATAATAGTTAGTTCTTTGCTAATAAATAACAAACAAACAACCAATAAGAATCATGCATTACAGACCATTACTTGTCTGTTGAACAGAATTAATAATGAATGAATTTCTAGCTAATAGATTCTATTCTGATCCAAAATTAGACAACTCTCATATGCACATAATATTTGATAAAGGAATCCAATTTCCAATGTTCAGAGAGAAATTATCTGGTGCTTAATTAATGAACAAAATGTGATACTTAGGGAAATTTAATACTCACTTGACCTTGTTTAATTTATTCTCTTGATCCTTTTTTTCCAGTTGCAGATCTCTTATTTCTGTCTTCAACTCATCAATATTGCTATTCTTTTCTTCTTCTTTAAGATCTCTTTGCTATAAATTGAGATGAGAATATGCAATTCAATTAGTCATATTGTACAATGCTACACCAGTTACAGTATCATTTTATTGCATCGCTAGAAAAAGAATATTTCCATCAATTGTTAGCAATAAGTATATAGTTTTGAAGATTTGATTGTAGATGTTATATGCACAGTTAGAAAGGAAAATTCAGTATCTACTTGCTGCATGCACAGAAAGAAAAGCAGTCAGTTGGATTGATGGATGTAGCCAATTATAGTATTTTTGTTGTAATAAGCATAAATACCATAACATACTTTATATTTAATGCCAGTTCTATTCCAAATTGACATACTATACAAAGAAAAGACTCTTGATGTTGTTAAAATAACACTGTTTTTACTAACTGACTACTATGCACTGAGCAATGTACAATGATGTGAAAGTGTGAATGCTTTATCAACACAAGCTGGACAACAGTCTTTTTCCACAGAGCTGCAGAAGTTCACATTAAATGTCAAAGGCTATGAACACTTCAAAATTCAGTTTCATTGGGGTTCATTAGGCAGGGGTACCTTTCAAAACCTTGTCAAGACAATTTCATAATTTCTAGTTCAAAACAAGCGATCTACAATCATTTCATTTCATTCAAAACTAGGCATAATGCAAAATTAGGCAGATTTAACTTATAAGTTCATTATGTAAATGAGAATCACCATACATGGTGATTTGCTAAACTTACTGCTTTCTGGAGCTCTTCCTCCAATTCATCCAGTTTATGTGCAGAAGCATCCAGTCTATCCAACTCACTTGTAACATTCTTCAAAACTTTCTTGTTTTCAATCTAAAACAGAAAATTCGTCACCTTGATGCTTTCTTAGATCAAACATGATTTTGTGCAAAACTGCAGTTTGTAAGAGATGGCATGCTTAGATTTCTAACTGTTTTATTCAATCTGATACCAGAATAAGCAAGTCTTAGGTTTGTGATTGGAATTTTAGCGAAAACCAGATGTTTTTGAAATGCAAGATTGATATATTTAGAGTGAGCAGTCAGGTTGAGTTTACTAATATTCCAAAAAAATAGTCAAGTTTTTAAAATTGTCATCTGTGGTAAGTTCAGAAGTAAAATCAGACATATATGTAGAACCTGTCTGCTTAATAATGCTAACAAGACATGAAATGTCACAGTCCCCGTTATTTGATTATAAAGTTGTACAAGGAACATCTGCAAACAGGTGAATAAA